ATAAAAAAAAAATAAAAGAGAGAAATGCTAGGCCTAGTTTTGGAAAATTTCAGTCCCTGCAGCTGGCCTTTTTGAGTTTCCAGTTTGGTCAAATAAGATAATATTCCAAAGATTAGGAGGAACACATAGGGGGATAGAGGGCCTCTAGTGTAGATCAGTTTCCCTGTTTAATTCCTCTTGAAGGAGTAATAAAACCGCAAGATCCACCGTTACATTAAAGGAAAAGGAATAGAAGTAATGCGAGACATACTCCATTTAACAAGAGAGGTATGAAAACCCGATTTAATCATAATATTACTCGCACACTTCCAATCCACTCTGTCAAATGCTTTTTTCCATGTCAAGTTTGAGTGCCATATAGTAACAAGTGCCACTTCTATGTCTGTTAAGGAAATGAATAGCTTCTAGGGTTAGAATCACATTATCGAGAATTTGTCTATTTGAAACAAATGCTGCTTGGTTTTCACTTATACACAGGGGAAGGCATGTTTTCAGTCTCCTTATTAAAATTTTAGAAATGACTTTATAAGCAAACCCACAAAGACTAATAGGACTAAAACGAGAAACATGCTCAGGATGAGAAATTTTAGGAATTAGAGTGACAAGAGTATGGTTAATACTTCGCATAATCTAAACATGGAAATACTTGGAGTTCTTATCTCTATGCTTAGGTAGTTCATTTTTTTACAAAATCATTCGCCTTTTTATAATAGTATATAGACATAGATAAATTATACACTTCAATAAAAAGCAAATTTACGGTTCATCGAAGTCCACCCATATATTGTACACTACAATAAGGCAACTTAAACAAAAATGCATACTTATGTAATGAAAGATCATACTTCTATATATATTATTTCTTAAAGCACGACATTACGTGTAAACATATGTATATCAATTGGAAAAATATATTTGTCTAAAAGTTAAGCCAACTAGAAGAAATCTTACTGGTTAGTGAATATGTCTTGGGAACTTTGATGATGAGTTAGCTCCTTCACCAGGGGAAGGCACATTAACTTCGTCACTTTTCACTTAATTTAACGCGATTTGATTATGTTAGCGTTTAAAGAATGCAGCAGACGAGAATTTCCAGAGGTTAGTAATCAAAGCACAAACTTGGTGATAGTTTGTAGGCAAAATGGGACTGCCCCAAGTCTTATGTTAGAACTTAGAATCTGGATCTGAAAGTGTCGTGGTGGAGTTTGGACGATTATTTACACCAGCTGTGTAACGTTCGACCATTAGTCATCCCAATGTTTCCGTTGGAACAAACATACACCAGAAGAAAATGAAAAGAAAAAGAAGTTCTTGGCACGATAGATATGATTTTTCAGTGCAAATGCTCTTAATCAGAAACTTGTATATACATGTACAGTGAGGTTTTGCAAAGTAAATACATCAAAGAGCTCTCAATTGTACAATGCAATCTTATAGTTTAAATATCACTTACTGCACAACAATTTGTTTCTGAGGCTGCATTCTTCATAACCAATGTAAAATGGATCTTTTGCTAGTATTTCACGACAGAAGCTGAACAGCTGCGATGGCTGGTATTTTTTCTCGAAGTTTTTGAGTAACCGCAACCCGTACAGTCATCACACCAGCCGCGGGTCCACTAATCCGTACTTTGACTATTGGCTCCTCAATTTCTACAAGCTCTAAATCCCCACCAGCTGCTCCAACTAGAAAAGGCCTTATTTCTTCAAGAACCTAAACTAGTACAATTGTGTCATGATAAAAGCCTTTTTCTACAATGAATAACATGCTAACCATATGTTTGAACAAAAACATATCGAGCATTAATGCTCCTTAAAAAATGAGTTAATGGGGAATAATTAATCAGAACTTTGATGCCAAGAGTGTCCATGATGGGAGATAAAATTAGTACCTATTATGAGCAACGTGATTCAAATATGAACAAACTAAACAATTTAGGACGTTCTGAGTCGACAATTTCAGTGTAATGTGATAATGTTGCTTTGGATGTTACCATAGCTCAGCAGCACTAACTCTGTGATGAGAGAGAACAGAGCCGATGTATAAGGAAAGGTAAAAGCTAATTTGGGTAATTTGGGGTTAATATCACCTAAGTTTTCAATACTCCATACTACCCAAGGTCATTCCACCTATCTAGGCACTCTAAATGTTCGAAACAAAGAAAAAAAATAAAAATTCTTAATATGAAACTTAACAAAGTAGAGACAGTGAAACTGTATTAGTATAAAGTAAAAACTTATTTCTCAGTTAAATTTATAAGCCCAAACCAGCACAAAATACCACGTAAAAGGTAGTAAAGGCTGTCTTAACCACAAAGAAGGTATGCTGGCTGATGATAACAAACCAACGAAACTGATGGAATCATATAACTACTGGTATCCAAACTTATCTGTTGCTTCGTTTTACATAGACATGTATCAAATTAAGAGATTAGGCTTGTGGAATATCAAAGAATGAATGGAAGAAAAATGGACAAGACGCCTAGGATAAAATCCCAGAACTTTCAGCCATCATACCAAACATGTGAACGACCCCGAACAAGAAAAAACTCAAAAAATTGATCTTAATTTTTTAACCTTGCATGTCAATTTATAAGCTCCAAGAAGAACCTAAAACAGGAAGTGAAATACGGTCAGTACATAAGACAACATACTGACATAGTGTTAGACCAATAATCAACTGTTTTTTTACTCCTTTGCTATGCCAGTGAAACTTGCCACCTCTTATTTCTCATGGCTAAATACAATTGAAACATTGCCATCCACATCCCATACAATACTTCAGAAAATTCTAGTTCTCTTCTAACTCTCTTCCCAAATTTCCCTACAATTTTCTTGAATCATTTAGGCCACATTTGAATATGGGCATAACATATTTATCCAGTATAGCAGATTCATGATATAACTAATAGGGTGAAGTTAAAATAAATATACAAAATAAATATACAAATAAATGAAGTAGAGTATGTCTTCAGATATCTAATCACTGAAAGGAAAGTGTTGAAAGATATATCTTACCTTCTCAATGTTCTCTTCATTTAGCTCAAGGCCCGTCTCCTCATCTGGTATTGATTCAACAGCAACAATTTCAGGGATCTTATCCATTAGACGACGTTCAATACCCATTTTCATTGTCATAGTAGAACTAGGACATGAGCCACATGCTCCTTGTAATTTCAGTCGGACGATATTTCCATCAATTTCGTGCAACGCAACGTTACCCCCATCTGCCATTAGATAAGGCCGAACCTCATCCAATACGCTCTCGACATTTTCCTCTGTGAGAACAGATGAATCAGGTGTGACAACAGCCGCCCTTATCACTGCAAAAATGGTATGCACATCATTTTTAGACATAAAAAGAAAACGAGCAACTCCAAAATGACAAAAAATTTATAAACTGAAGCTAATTATTTAGTCATGCATTTCTCAAACAGTATCCCAACTCAAAACAGACCTAAAAAACGAAAAGAAAAGAAACATCAAAGATGAAAAATACGAATAGTCTGAAAATCATCCCACTCTCAGTGATAAAAGATTCTACACAATTCAATTATTCAGCTGGTTAATTAACAAGTTCTATCGCATCCTTCCATAGTCAATTTAAATATGAATCAAAACAATCACCTGGCATTCGAGAAGCGTATCGCAATCTGTACACATGTTGCGATGAGGGCATCCGCACCTGATTGAATCTCCCAGAATTCGTAATCCGAGGGGCGAAAAATCTCGAAACCTGCTACACCACACGTTTTCACGATTACAGTTCAGGAAATAACGCAGCTTGCGTAACGCCAAACCCACACAAACACAGAGTGGAAAAAAAAATGCAATCGATCGTGAATACAGATATGAAAAGCACCTTTTGAGGAGGAGAGCGGCGGTACAAAGAGACAGCGGAGGAGGATGAAGAAGAGCAGGACGGCTCTAGAGTTCGGTGGAAGCTGCAACCGTAAGTATATGGCGGAGAGCCAACTGCCATGGCTGCGTGCATCGCCTCGTCGATTTGCTGTGGGAGTTTGCGATGAATACAGTTGGAATTTAGGGTGTGTTTGGTTCAATGGTGGGGAAGGGAGGAAAGGGATTTTATCGGAGGGAAAGGAAGAGGTGGGGAGATGATATAAAATAATTTTATCTTGTTTGGAGGGATTATTTAGGAAGTGAAGGGAGGAAAAATGGTAAGGTCTTGTTTGTATACAAAATAATTTACTCATTTTTATTTCAACTCAAAATTTAACTTAGCTTTAACTTAACACACTATCTTTAATATTATTCATATAATTAAATAATACAAACCAATCATTCTTACACATCACATCAACTTTAATTCACTATTCATCCACTCACATAATTTTAACTACTTATCATTTCCAATCATTTATCTCTTACTTTTACATTAAATAAATTTTAATATTTTATTTTAAATATTATTTTAATACATTCTTAAAATTCCACTACAACTAACTATACCACATTTTTCAAAATTAACTATTGTTAACCAAAATAACTCAATTTGAACAAATTATTTCATAAACAAGCCCTAAACTTTATTTGGTTAAAAAACTAAAGAAAGGAAAAATAAAATTAAAATGACAAACTTACTCTTAATGAAGTAAGATAAAAAAATAAAAAATTTAAAAAAAAATGTAAGGACTAAATGACCATTTAACATTGTCATAAAACACTTCCCTTCAAAATTCCCTCAAATTTTGGAGGGGAGAAAAAGTAAGGGAGGGGAGATCTTCATTTATCTAGGGCTATACGGACTCGAACCGTAGACTTTCTCGGTAAAACAGATCAAACTTATTATTATCAAAATGATCTGAGCTGTTTCAAAGACCCAACATGCATAATAAAAAATTTCCTCTCACTCCCCTCCTAATTTTGCAACCAAACAAGTGAAAACTAAAATTCTCCATCCTCTCTTCTCTCCTCCCTTCCCCTCCAAATCCCTCAAACCAAACACTATCTTAGAAAAAATGTTTCTAGTTAGTCTTTCTTCGGCAAAAATTCAATTTTGGTCCGTTAATTTGTCCATTGTCCACTTTTGGTACACTAACTTGTCCCTCATCAAAAAAAAAAAAATTCATTATGTTACACTTTTCATCAGTTTTAGTACGCTAATCCCGTGGCCCGGGATTACGAGATGCCAAATCAGTTATTTATCCTACCACGTACACATCTTATCCCTCCACGTAGTTCCAATCCCGGTCCACGTCTTAATCCCGCCAACTGGAGTAGTGTACTAAATCTGATGAAAAATGTAACATAATGGACCATTTCTGATGAGGGACAAGTTAACGGACCAAAAGTGGACAATGAACAAGTTAGCGGACCAAAATTGAATTTTTGTCGTCTTTCTTCTGCACATATACAAAAAAAATAGAAATAATTGATAACAAAAAAGCAATTTATGTTCAAAGTTATTAATACTAGCCGACAATGCACGAGACATTATTGAGTATTGATAAATTAAATAAACTAATTGGGAAGAATATTGATTGCATAAAAATTATTTTGAATATTACTATTTTTTATCTTCTTTTATCACATATTATTAGTTTAATATATAATTTATGTGTATTTTTGTCGACGTTCAAGCGTCAACTAAAACAATAGGGCGGCTTAGTCACAAAATAGTAGGTATTTGAGTAACGGTTTGTTGTTATAACAACAAAGATTGAATGAATAACGATCTACGGGTGAAACTATAAGCATAAACGAGAAAATTAAACGACACAAATAATTTGTCGGTCTGTATAGGGAGATCGGCGAGGAGAATAATAGTGCATATATGGATGTATTTATCACTAGAGTTGGTTGTGTAATGTATGGTTGTGTTGGTCGTTGTGTTCGTCCTATGTTTGAGCCTCTAGAGTTGGATTTGTATACAAAAAAAGTGGAAAGCAATTATGACTAAGGGACCAACTAAGGGCTTAGAGAAGGACATGCGTCCTCATGAAGAAGCTCTTCTTTTGATGATGGGATCGGCTAGACGGTCACTTTAACAGTTTGCTTTATCAGTTTTCATTCATACTGCACAAAGATCGACAATCTTTTAGGAGTAGGGTTAGGGAGAGATTGGCGACCAGTGCAGATCTGGATCAGCATGGTCTCGGTTGTCGAGTTTTTGGGGTTGTTCTTTTCCATAATCAAGGCCCAATTTTTGACGGACTTGGTCTTCCATTTTCGACTTGATGGGTCGTCCCAGAGTGAAGGCAGTTTTATGTATAACAAGAGGCCTTCGGGTTTTTAGGTGTAAGGATTGACTGATACACCTAGAAAGTTGTTTGCAGGTTTTGAATCTGCACATCAATCTCTTTATGTGAAAACGAAATGATTGTGTCAGTTACACTAGCAGGAGACAGATTGTGACAAGACGTCTTTTCGATAGAATCACTTAATGAAAAGAGGGGCGGTCACTCGGAGGGGTGTTTTTTCGGACATGGATGTGGCCCTTGGACTTTGAGCCTTAACACGACATAACATAATGATTGAGAAATCCCTATAAATAAGAGATTGCCTTTGGACTTGAGATCTTTTCATTTGGAATTTGAATTCAAAAATCCCCGAGTTTTGTCCTCGTAATGTTTTAAGTTTATGGCTTGATGAGACTGACTCTTGCAAGTTCCTTGAGCAGGTACTTTTTTTAACCATTGTCCTTGATTTTTCGTAATCACTATATTGGATAATAGTGATTACGACATTGATTTACTAAGCGCGGCCTTGGCAGGCGCCCGGTCAGGACAAGTGAAGGGGTCGATCACTGATATAGGTGACACCTAGAAAATACAAGCACAAATGTAGGAGGATACTTCAGGCTTGACGTGGTGCTGAGGTACTCTGATAGAGCAAGGCCGAGGGATAAGTACAAGATCCCTAGATCGACAAAAATGTTCAAGCCATATGAGAATGAACGTGCTCATTGTCTCTAGTGGGATATGTTTCGGTGCATCGAGAATCCATAGTGTCTGATTTGAAATTTCCTTTTCCTCAAGTAAATGGGTGATGGGTGTCACCCAGGTGCACCCAATACTATATCCCTCTTATGCTCCTTGATCATTATGTTTAGACAAAAAAGCTAGCTAGAACCGATCGTGGAGGAACTAGACTCCATTCATATGTGGAAAACGTTGAAGGCAAGGAATAAATATTTTAATTTTGCGCCACACGACAAGTACGCCAAACTAGTGAAGCAGATACTCGAGTCACTCATAAGTGGAGACATTAGTGGTTTTGGGTATCGGGAGAATGGAAAACTCGGCGATCATTTGTTAATTTATATGTGGAGACATGTTTTGTAGATAAAATCCATAAGTCTTTGCCAATCTCTTAAGGAGTTTAAAAATAACCCATTTTTTTAATTTTTTTCTTCGTCTTGAATGAAGCGGAGAAGAAAATGCCATTCTTGGGCCTAAGATTCAAGGGAAAGTTAGACACCTTCCTGGGTTTGACGATCCCTAAGAGGAGTTACTGAAATCTAGTAGAGAACGAAAACTCTTGGGGTGGATTGTTGTCGAGGTTTGACTATACGTCTATTGAACCAGGTAACCCATTGATTAGGTTAGATAGTGATTCTTCTTAATTTGATTATACTAGTATTCATAAATATTTTTGTCGTTCTGCAGTGTTTAACCATATTACTGGTAATTTGGGTGTTGCTCCATCCCAGAAGCAAAATCAACAAAAAAGATCGACAAGTTGAGAAAGAAAAAAAGACACGGATCAACCAGACAAGGCGTTGTGTTGAGCGCACAGTGAATGACATCGTCAATGCCTTCAGAGGATGTTGTGGGATCTCTGCCGAAAACTGGATGAAGAAATATTGGCAACAGGCGCGAATCGTCGGGTGTTCTAGAGAAGATGCAGGGACATCAAAACGTCCGAGGAGAAAGTCTCCTCCTGGTGATCGCCTCTACACTCTGCTAGTTATGAAAGTGGATGAGATAGATGAGCAACTAGTAAATCCACCATGAATAAAGAAGCAAGTGATAGAGAAGGTGATTGTTGAAGATGTCGGGATCATCCAAATCCGATCATCTCTGAGGTGGAGCCAATCCTCTCTGAGTGAGTCCCGGGGGCATTAACTGAGCAGGTGACCCCCTATCAATCTGATTCGTCTCATAGAGACAGGCTCGAGCGATCGGCTTATAAGGCACCATCTATCGGATATTTGCCCTGCGATCCCACAAAAGTCGTGTGTAACTTTGAAGTTTGTAGGCCTGATTGGTGTTGCAAACATGGGCACAATGATTTTGGAGATCCCGAATCCCCATGGGGTGACAGAACATGTGATGAATGTGGTGTACCTCTCAATGATGGTGCAGAATCCATATCTGGAAACAAAGGTCTCAAGCATGCATTCTTCTAAGAGATTACAATGAACGACATAACATATGGCGGTTGTGCTGGGTTGGATCATGAACAGGACCGGCGAATCATTGGAACTGGTTTATCAATTGAGAACAATCAGGGCTGATCATGGACGTTGTGGGGATTGACTGAAGGTGTTGGTCGGACAACTGGAAGCCATGAACGAGGAGTTTACAGTTATCACTGTGGATATAGATCGACTTAGGGCGAATTTAGAGGATTTCACATTGTCGAGTAGGTTGCTGGGATGTTGAGAGACAAGGAGGTGATGGTAAAAAAATCACGTGTAACAGTACAACATTTGAATAAAACATTGTCGAGTAGTTGCCAGAGAGAGCCAAAGTACAGAAAGTGGTTTAGGCAGGATCAAAGGCCATTGAGGAAGGTAGAACAATTAGCTTAGAAGGAGGGTAATTAGACTAACCTCGTTGAAGATAAGGAGATTGGATTGGTTGAGGGGTATGAGCTTGGCAAGAAGTAAGGGATTAAGATGGACAAGTCTTAACAGACCACCGAGAGTGAGAAGCTTCTGGAGACTGAACGTTTCACAAGCATTCAGTAGGTCTCTTTTTTATTGTGATTATAGAGATTTTTTCGTTGTTCCGAAAATAAAAGTGATACTTATGTAATTTTAAAATAAGTGAAAAAAGAGTGATAATATATCTAAATTTAGATGGCCAGATATAGTGTACAAATTTTAATTTTAAAGGACAAAATGTTGGACTAGAAATATGATATATAAAAAAAGCATTCCATTTTAGTTTCATAATTAAGAAATTTAGAGCATCTCGAATGAAACATTGTCCATTATGTGTTGAATGGCATGGAGAAAGGAAATTAAAAAATTATGTCTTCAATAGTTAGTGTGAATTGTGGTGTAATTTGTGATGTGTAAAATAATAATTGGGTAGAGAAGAGAGATAAAATAAATAAAAAATCTAAAATATATAGTAGAAGTATTCTAGAATGGCTTATACATCTAGAAGACCTTATAAACATTTTTCATATCACATATGATTGCTTGTGCCACGTGGCAATAAAATAGAACAATAGAATGACCATTGGAGATGCTATTAGATTATTAGTCTAATGGTACATAGGATTTTAGACTTTTTGTCTCCAATGCGAGAAAAAAAAAAACACTAAGTCTAGATGATGTAGCATGTGAAAAAGTAGATTAAGTCTTCATTTGGATCTATCTTGAGACATTATTCTAAACCAAAAATTTTATCATAAAATAGTATTATTTTTAATAAACAACTCATGATTATTATTTCTATTTCCATATCATTGTATACTTTACTTAAATTATTATTTTAATAAATTACTCATAATTATTTTGTTCCACATCACTCTAGATCCAAGTTAAAAAAAAAAAAAATTGCATTGGAGTAGATATGATCTATTATTATTCATTATTTCTCCACTCATTTAGGACCCAAAAAATCTATTATATTGACAACTGGACAAAATTAGCTTAAACAGTGTAGATACTCTATAAAAAGAGAAATCAAATCCAACCAAGAGCACCTCAAGAGTCAAGAGTGCGAAAGAATATAGATCATCTCCAAAAAAAACAATATATATATATATATATATATATATGTATATATATATCAGTAGGAAAATAGTGAAAAAATATACAGAAAAATAGGAAGAATAATGAATTTTGCTTTAAGTATATAATATATAATGATTAAAAACTTACGTAAAATCAATCAAATAATAATTAAAAATTAGGTGATCAATATGTGAACCAAATGCTAAAGTGAATTTGAATGAAAGTTTTATAAAAATAAATCCCCTTATATATTAATCCATAACGCGCTGAGCTTACGTGGCTGTTTCTGGTGTTTTGGAAGGGCAATGCTATATGTACACCCCCTTTTAATAAATTACACAAAGAAAAGTGCTATATGTACACCCCTTTTTTACACTTGAGGGGGTGTACATATAGACACCCCCTTTTGGAATCCTATTGACAAAATTACATGCTTCGTTATTAGGTTTGGGTAAATTTTAATTTAATTCCAAACCAAAAATAATTAGGTTCGGATTACCATAAATATGTTGATTATTTATGGTCATGTTACATGTATTAATTGTATTTTAATATCATTCTTTATTACTAGTACAGAGCCCGTGCGATGCACGGGGTGCACAATTTTAAGGTCATTTATCCATTTTTATAATTATATAAATGAATAAAACAAATGTACGTGATATATATAGTACGTGACCTGTATTAGGCCAAAATGTGAACACGGGTGATGCACGAGGTGCACAATTTTAAGGTCATTTATTAGTACAGAGCCCGTGCAATGCACGGGGTGCATAATTTTCTAGTATGTGTAATAAAAATACATACCGTATGCACGGGACAAAAGCACTAAATGAGTCATTTCCACAGAGCTTGCCCGTTAAGTAGCTCCTGAACACGGGTGCACAACTTGTAGTACGTACCATAAAATCAGAACAAATTTCCATAAAATTAGATAATAAATTAGATAATAAATAAAACTTTTTTATTTTAGTAAAGATTTTACGTATTTTTTTTACTTATCGGATGTTATGGAATTTTTTTTGTTAAACCGATTTTATAGAATATAATACAAATACAATTAGAGGATTGAACAAAATCAAAACAAATTTTCATACGATTAGATAATAAAAAGGAATTAGATAAGGAAAAGAATGAATTAGATAAGAAAAAAAGGAATTAGATAAGGAATTTTGAATTTGACATTTTTTTTGATAGATAGACTTTACGTATAAATTTTGACTTCACTGATTTTATGGGATTTATTTTGACAAAATCGATGTTAATATGGAATAAGGCAAATAAATAAAGTCTTTTTATTCTCGTAAATATTTTACGTCTTTTTTTTACTTGTCAGATGTTATGGAATTTTTTTTAAACTGATTTTATGGGATATAAGACAAATAAATAAAATATGGATAGAAATAACAATGCATTAATTACGTTGACTTTTCAATATAATAAATCTGGTAAATAGGATACCTTATATAATAAGTATAGATACAAATAAATAACATGCCAAAATTTTAAAGAATAATTAATGTATCTTAATTTATTATCTAGTCATCATTTAATGATGTGATGATTATCTTATGAATGATAAATAAAATATTAATTTAAAAAAAAAATATTTGTTTTTTTATACTCAAATAAAAATTAAAAAATATTATTGACAAATATGAATTACAATATATATCAGTAAAATCATTGCAAAAGTTAATAATATTATGTAAGGAAAGAATCTTTTTGATCATATTTGAATAGGAATATTATTCTCTTTTGGAGAGCGATTGTATTCTCTCTTGGAGAGCGATTGTAGTTCGATTTCTTCCACCATTTTTCGGATCCTTGTTTTGATCTTGTATCTCCTCTAGTTGCAGTTGGGGATTTCCTCTCTTATTGTAGCCTATCGAGTTTTTTTCTTTTCCCGTCTCTCTATAAACCCTAATTTATTATGAGCCCCCAATCTAGCAAAGAAAAGGATGATGAAATCCTGCAGAAATTGGAAAACTTTTCCCTCTCAGGCAGAGAAGACTCTATTGTGGATAAAAGAAATGAAGATATCAAGCTCAGTGACGAAGAATGCCAGCGCTGTCTTTTTGGGAAAGTAATCGGTGACCGGAAAGCGAGCTGGATTGGAGTTAAGCGAGCCATGGGTTTCATTTGGAAGCTCCAAAAACAGATGGAAGTCAAAGAACTGGAGCACAATTATTTCCAATTCATTTTCGAATGCAAGGAAGATATGGAGAGAGTAGCCAAAGGAAACAACTGGAGCATTGATAATCAATATCTTATCCTTTCTCGTTGGCAGACAGGTCTCTCTAGTAAGCATTCAGTCTTCCAAGAACTCCAGATTTGGGTCCAGGTTTTTAATCTCCCCCTCAATTGGTTGAGTACCAACGTGGGTCTAAAGCTTGGATCGGTTTTTAAGCAAGCCATTAATATAGTAGTCATGGGCGCTGGAAGCCATGGGGGAAAGGTCCTAAGACTTTTGGTTGCAGTGGACTTAAACGAACCTCTTCCCCGTTGCACCAATTCGCCTGGGAGAGCAGATTGTGAATGTTGGTTTCAAATATGAAAAACTCATTAATTTCTGCCATTATTGTGGTTTTATTGGTCACCTAGATAGAAGCTGTTCATCTCTGCTTGCAGACATCAAAAACAAGTCTCTTAAAGAAGGTGGATATGGTGACTGGATGCGAGCAGAAGGCCAGCACTGGGCAAGCCTGAGCCCTTCAGTTTCTAGAGGCTCTCCCTCGGAGACTCATACCCCTCCATTCCACCAATCTCCTAACAAGACAACCACCAGTCAAATGAAGGATAACCAGCTCCTCCTTATTCAAGATGAGGCAAGGCCTCTCTTTCATCCATCCTCAAATCTCTCAGATACTCAAGCAGAAGATATCTGTGGCTCTACTTCAGGGGAGAACCTGCCAGTGACTACCCCTGTTTCTAATTCAGAAGTCCCCTCTGCAATTGTTACCCGGCCAATGTCTGTGGAAAACCCCTGCTCCAATCTTTCACCTATCCTCCCCAACATTGAGATTAGTGATACTCTGATGATTCAAAAGCCTTTGATTAAAACCTGGAAAAGATCAGGCAGCAAAGAAGGCAGGCTTCTTAGACAGAATACTGATTTAATCATAAGAGAACCCTCTGCTACTAAGAAAAGGCAACAACCGGAGGAGGATGATTCTCTCTCTGAGAACAAAGGCAAGTCAATTGTTCCAGTTGATAACAAAAAATCCAAATATTCTTCGGAAAAGGTGGGGGTGGCCAGCCTCGATTGGCACCCAAGTGCCCAATGCTAGCTGCGTACAGTTTCCCAAATCCGAGAGACAGTAAGAGCTCATCACCCAATTTTTATTTTCTTGTCTGAAATAAAAAAGCCTTCTGGTTTTGTAAATACGGTGGTTAAAAAGCTAGGTTTTGAGGGCAGATCCATTATCATTAATCCTACTGGCTCTAGTGGTGGTTTATTACTCATGTGGAA